GTGTGTGTGTGTGTGTGTGTGTGTGTGTGGTGTGTAGTTATTTTATTTGGGTTCTTATATCTACCACCCTCTTGCATCCCAATCCCTTCTAACACCCCAGGCCAGGTAAAAAAGAAAGAAGGTTAGAGGGATAAGGGGTCGTTGAGTTCTTTTTAAACCACTTCCTGCTGATGAGGGAGGGGCATTGAGTTCCTTAGGGCATGTCCAATCTTCATCTCATCATTTCCTGTCTCTTTTCTCTCAACCACCTGACAAACCAACTACAGCAGCAGCAGCAGGAGCAGGAACCAGAAGGAGAAACAGGTGCCACCTTCTTTGGAGCATTCCTGTCCCTCTCTGGCGTTTATTCCCTTTCCTGAGTCCCCCAGAATGAAACCATCTGCAGCTGGCAAAGGTCACGCCCTTGCTAGTGTACGAGGCGTATCACAGTTAACTGCGCTGGACAAACTGAAGCAGCTCCATATCCCACACCTGGATTAAAACAAAAACATATTCACATAACATAACTGGGCTTTTAAAGAAACCAAACCTCAGATGATGCACAGGCACACATACACACATGCACACATACACACATGGGTGCACTCCTGCACAAAAGGATAACCAATAGCTAAAGTCTGAGTGGCATCTTTGAAGGAGTATCAATCAAAGAACAAGATGTTGCACAATATTAACTATAAGTTTTAATGCCATCCCTGCTAAATTTCATTTTTTATAACTAGGAGTAACAAGCAATTGCCACCAAGCCTGAAATATGAAAATCAAATACTCTGCCTATTTACATATGGTTCCCCAAAGCCATTCCTGATTAAAAATTGTACCATTTCAATCTTCCTTCTAGAGATATCTATTAGCAGGAAATTCATGTGAAGTCCAATGAATTTAGAATATAATTACACGTATCCTATACAAATTACTTCTCAATGGCTTCTTCTCAAGAAAATAGACCAAAGAGCGGTGATCAGCTCATTTTAAATATACAGGAGACTCCCTGGGAAAAGGTAGTGAGAGCGAGTCCACAAAGACCTTAAGCTGCAGCTCATTGAAGTTTAGCAGGAAATAATCACCTCTGATCTGAGCTCCCAGTGTACCTTGGGAAGCACTCCATGGGTGAGCTGCACTCTCTGACTGGTGCCCCTCACTGAGCAACTGTAGCCCTGGTGAAGCTGCTTCCTGCCTCACCTCAAAGGCTAGAACCAAGTGATTCTGAGAGTCTCTTCCAGGTCCAAAGTGGCATCACTCCACATCTGCAATCTCAAGAGCACCCCTAACCTCAGCCAGTCTTTTAAGGCAAGGAAAGATGTGACATGTCCTTGGGTAACCAACACTGTACAGAGCACCTAACATCTTTGGAAATGAATCCTTTGAAGAGATGTTTCCAAATGCTGTAACCTCTCTAGCCCTACTGAACCCTAAACAGGACTTGAACCCAAGCTCTCTTAAAGTCCACCCTTACCATAGTTCTAGTGAAGATGGAGAGGCCAGAGAACTACACACACCATTCGTCACTTGGAAGAAATACAACCACCAGGACATTTCAGGCCCTTGGTTTACACACCACCAGACTCTAAACCACACAGACACAGAGAAGATAGAGGAGGGCTCCATTTCACAGAATATACACATCCAAGTCCCCAGAGTGTACGTGCTGGAAAGTATGCTCATGGAGAAGCACAGATGAAGGGAGGAGGGAAGGAGTCAGCACCAGAAGGGAAGACTGTCAGAACATTCCCTTAACCTCTCTAGAAGCCAGACATTACAACATTTTAAAACCCACGTTTCTGAAGCAGCTATACTGCTCAGATGGAACATGGGCCTCAGATTCAGGCTCATAAGCCACTCAGCTCAGGAATCAACCCTGTAAAGCCAAAAGCTCTGGCCCGAATCGTAACCCTTCCCCCACTAGCTCTGTAATAGCCTACAGGTGCTCCAGTTTCCTCATCTGATAGATAATAGGAACAGTACAAGGACAGTTATGCATCCCTTAACAATGCAGAAGCAGTCTGAGAATCACGTCCTTGGGAACTGTGTCCCTGTAGGAACAATACTGAGTGAACTCAGCCAAGCCTAGATGAAGCAAGCCAGTCACTTCATCTGGCCTCTCAACGCCCTCAAGACAGTTTAACTATGAGGTGGACAAAGCTACTGCACACTTACCACAGCATAGAGCTTTACAGTAACTTTTAAAGTATTTACAAGGAACACACACTGAAACAACAATAAAGTAAAAAGATAACCTAGTAAATACGTGAACCACACCATCATTTATGATCACTACCCGGGTATATGGACATGACCGGATACGCTCTTCTTGGAAGGCAGGGGCATCCTAGGCTTGTCCACATGCATTACTTAGTAACTCACTGTGCCGTGCTATTACAAAGTCACCAGACAATAGAAAAACCTCAGATCCATTACAAGTTTATAGAGCTAACATCATTTATGTGGCCACTGATCAAAACAGCTTTCCATGGAGCATGACAGTGCTTCGTGTCTACATTATTCACAGGGTACTGTGGACAAGATGAAACTGGCTAAAACACATGAAGTACTTAGAGAGTCTGGCCACAGCAGGTGCTCCGTGAAGAACCCCCAAGTGCTGTCACTATTATTCAATAGAGCCTGGGCATCTCAGAGATCAGGAGAACAAAGGATCCACACCTCTCTGCTCTTACTGACTGGAATTCTGCAAGGCTCTATTATTTTGCATGTAAAAAATTTCTTTAAAAATCCTTTTTATTGTGTGTGTGTGTGTGTGTGTGTGGGTGTGGGTGTGCACTCGCGCGCGTGCACCTCAGCCTTTATATAGAGGTCAGAGGGCAATAATTTGCATAAGTTAGTTCTCTCCTTTCTTCCCTATGGGTCCCATGGATCAAACTCTGGTGCCTTTACCTCCATTAGCCCTACAATTCTATGTCTGTACAATGTGCATTCTTAAAATCCCAGTCTTAACTACTCCCAATCACAGATGCTTCCTAGATGCGACTTTCTTGGTCATCCGTGAGAGGGAAGTACAAGAGAGCCATCAGCCTGCAGCCTGGGAACAGGGCAGCAGGGTGGAGCACAGAGGCAGCCCTGTGGCCGCCTGCACCTGAGCCTTCGCCTGCGCCACCACACACACTGCAGCCATGCACTGCACCGGGGTCTGAGAGCTGCCACCTCAGGAAGAGCTAACTCCACTGTTCTTTGTGGGGTTCTCAAATCCCCAGCAGGGCCATATCTGAGGCCAGAGGACACTAACCTTCAGTGGATTCTTAAGCTGCCATTACTACTCGAGATGTCACTGAAACTGGTGAAATTTCCAACCATTCAACTCATTCCTTGGTTTGGACCCAGGGTAAATTTAGAAAAGATACTAATTATCCTGAAGGAATTTTTGAGAGTGGAAAAATGAAGAAATTTAAGAATGCCATGAGATAAGTTGTTTTTTTTTTTTTTTTTGGTCTTAAATCATTTTTCCAAAACAGCCATCTGACAAAGCAAATGGAACTGTCAGAAAACAGTGACCTTAAAAGTGCTAGTGCATTCTTTCAAAGGGCTTGGCACTCTTGGTTTGCAGAGGAAGTTCTAATACCTTATTCCTTTGTCTAACAATCAGGTAATAAAGAAACCAGAGGTCCTGCTGTATTCCACACGCTCAAGTAATCCTGTTCTGAGAAACTCTCGGGACCCTAGACACACAGAAACAGGAGAGAGAAAAAGATGGCTAAGCCAACCAAATCAGCAATCTCCCGCTCTCTGCTCTAAGGCATTGGAACCTCCGAAAAGGCAAGGAAACTGGAAAGTCTGCCTAAAGAAGCCTCTTAACTGCTTCTGCCAAGGAGGGTCTTATAAAAAAAATGATAGGAGGCCAAGAACAAGTCCATACCTGACAAACCGCGACCATCAAGATGGTGATGTCAGGCTCAATAAAGCACCTTGGCAAGCTAAGAATGCGCACCTGGGAGAACCGAGGACGACCTGACAGATTCCTGTTTTCCTGGCTCTTTCTCAGCAAGCTAACAGTGGTGACTGAATAGTCTGCTCTCAGCTTTACAGAGTGGCAACTGGCTGTATGGATCCAACAACTGCTGCTCTCCTGGGAGACAGGAAGACAAAGCAACAGCAGCGCTCGCACGCAGAAGTACTCTGCACGGTGGAACAATGAGCCACAGAGTATTTAGAGGGGGGAGAGGGACACTCGCAGACATACTGGCGAGACAGACCAGAAAAGGAAAGGACCCTCAACACATAGATGTGTGTGCTTACACAGGGTCAGAGCCTGAGTGGCTCTGGTCACACTGCCAGCAGGCACTCTTTCCCCCACAGCAGAACATACCTTCACAGCTATAGCTGTACACCGCCACGGCTGACCTGTCCACCAGGTTCTCATCGTGATGCCAGCTCACTGCCATCTTCCCCATGCCGAAATAGGGCTCCTCTTTCAAGTACGGCATTTTCTGAGGATCCATGAAGTTTAGCAAAGTCACGTTGTAGGCTGCTCTGCTCTTCATGTCCACTTCATCATCGCAGGACGGCCCCACACCAGCCCTGGGGAACTCTGCCATGCACAACGGCACGGCATCTTCATTGGCCTTCTCTTTGACAGCCAGTTCTTCCAAGGCCTGGATGGTCTCAACCTGTAGGTAGTCATTGAGCTTGAGGAAGGTCTGACATGCAGCGGCGATGTCAGCCTCTGTGTAGTTGATGGTGCAGCCCTTCACTGGCCAGGGCACTGTGAAAAGTCTGGTGTTCAAGTACTTGTAGGTGCAGCCTGGGTCCCCGATGAGGATGCGGGACACTGGGGTGAGCACATCTTTGCCTTGGATCCTCACCAGGTCCCGAAACAAGCAGCCATGCTTATGCAGGGTAAGGAAGGCCTCAGGGACCTCTTTATGCAGCTCCTCGGGGATGCTGCCAGCCTCTCGGAAAACCAGTTTAGGATATTTCAGCTGCCACTAAAATAAAACCAAAGTGGGGGAGACGGTTATGAATGGCTGTCATCTTCTTATTTCCAAAAGTCTGTTTTCTTTCTAAGAGTGCAGGGAGAAAGTAAACTACTCAGTACTTTCTCCCAGCAGGGTTCTTATCTTGCCAGTCTAAAGAAAAACCTTATACAAAACCAACGCCCAGAGACTCTGCAGTGAGCACTGTCAGGTTGAAGCTCTAACTACTAAATAATCTTCAACACAAACAAAAAATGAGAATAATTGGCCTTTGAGCGCTGAGGCTTCCCGAGCCCACTTCCCCACATCTGCAAGCCTTCTTGCAGCCTTCGGCTTTGCAGAAAATAAAATTTTATTCATAAACTGACTATTGTCTACTGTTAGGTGCTTCCTCCATGCCAGGTGTGCTGATTCACTCAGACTAGCTCATTTCTCACAGCTTGTCACACACTATCAGCTCCAGTTTACAGAGACAACCCTGAAGCATTCAGGTACTCTGAAAACTTGCCCCAAGTCACACTGGTAAACGTTAGCCCAGGATGTAAGCCTCTGGGCTGCAGTGTCTGGCTGGCTCCAGTGGAGAAAATCTTAACTGTCTGACTGGACCCTTTCAATTACTGGCAAACTGGCTTCTGGTCCAACATATTCACATAAAGAAAACTCACCTCTCTGGAAGTGAATGCAATAAGTTCTATGAACACAACAGCCATGACAATTTGATTCCTGACTATAATACTAGTGCCCAGAATATTCTAAAAAAAAGGCAGTCTTACAGGTGTCAGGGGAAGGGGGCATTCAGACCTATCCCACCCACTAATCCAGAAACACACAATGACTCTGCTCAGGGCTGTATTTGATTTCCTGGAACCACTTTCTCCTTCGCACGGGAGTTATAATTGGCCTCATAAAGTAATCTGCCTTGTTCCCTCTTAGTTTTAGGCTAAATTCTGTAGAAAAGAAAAAAAAGCCTATGGATATCAACCCACTTGCTTGTCCTCAGACCACTGTGCTGCCCAGGACTTCATGCATGGGGGGGGTAACACGCTCATTCCTGTGGTGTGTGCATGTGTGCATGCTGGTGCATGTGCACTTGTGTACATATGTGTGCAGAAGCCAGAGATCAAGGCCAGGTATCTTTGTTAATCACTCATTGACAGGGTCTCCCACTGATTGGCTAGGCTAGCTGGCCAGTGAGCTTCAGGGATCGGCCTGTCTCCACCTCCCCAGAACTGGCATGTCAGATGTGCACCATAGCTCCTGGCCGTCCACACAGGTCCTAGAGATCTAACCTCAGTTCTTCAGGCAGCAGCCTGTAATTACTGCAGCATACCCTAGCCTGTTCTGGCTCACTTATAGCATGGGGAGAGGGCAGTCCTGCAAGATTCCACAGGAAGTAGAGAAAAGAAACACAAACTCATGGAGTCTGACTGTGAGAAACGAATTCACTAAGTAGAGTCTGACTGCCCTGCCTCTCGGATGCCTGTGTGAGCTGTATAAACACACATTTAACATGAAAAGAACAGAGGCATGTGACACACTGCTGGGAACTGTCACTGAGACAGTCAGAAATCCACACAAAACTCACAAGTGCTCTACTTCACTTATCCCGACTGGAAAATGGAGACAATATCACACTTTTATCTACACAGCCCAGGAAGACAGCAACACGCGCCTATTCTGGAGTCATATCTTGTCTCGAAACCGGGAGAAGAGAAAGAAGAAGGCGGGCAGATGGGAAAATGATAATGTTTTGGTGTATCAGAAAGCAAATCAGTGTAAGTCTGGGCTGCCGTGGGGAGAGGTCTGAATGGCAAGGGCATGGAGAAGCAACAGTTGGGGAGGACTGGAGAGGACTCTGGGGAGGACTGGAGAGAACTCTGGGGAGGACTGGAAACGTTCTACAACTATTATGTTTATACAACTATCAACAGATCATTTATTTGTACAAGATATATTTTATGATATACATATTATAGAATGTGTCAAAGACTTTTTTAAAGGATTAGTGAATTTGAATGCATGTTATAAAAATATTTGTACAAAATGAAGCATATAATTAATAATCAAGCCCTAATTGAAAAAATATTTGTAACCTATATGGTAAAACTAGAATATTTTTAGTAAGAGGCCATTAGAAATTTAGATATCTATGTGTAATACATATGCACACATAGTAATTAAAGAAAAGAAGCCATGAATTTGACAGAGGCCAGAGGTAGGTGGTATACATCACAGGGTTTGGGGGAAGAAAAGAGAAGAGGAAAATGATGTAAAATAATCTTAAAATTCTTTTAATTGAAAAATAAAATATATAGAGTTAACAAGAGCTTACTATTTTTAATTTTTATTTTTTTAAAAAAAAGCCCACATAAGTACAGAAAAACAGACTCAAGAAAAATGTGGTCAAAAGTTTCTTTCTTCGATTTTCATGATTTTCTAAAATAGATGGAAACTCCTTTGAATTAAGAAAAAAAAATCAATGAAAGGACTAATTTAATTTTTTGATGGCAATTCTTACATTTGCCAGAAAATTATTCTTGATGATATGATATGGTGATTCCGAATCATCAACCATGTTCAGAGCGCCCGCCTTCTGTGAAGCTGATGTACTGCACCGAGACGGAACAATGAGCGATGGCGGCTCGTTCTGCCCCAGTCTCAGAGAAGATGAATGGGGGAAAATGCCTGCCTGACATGTCCTGGTTAAACTAGGACCTGATGCACAGAACAGCTACGGACATTAGTTAGGGATTGTCTTTAGAGAGAACTGTGAGGAACTTTGGAGAAGAGATGAACATTAAATAATCTGAGTTCATCCTGTCAGACGAGTGAGTTCACGTTCCGTTTAGACAGGTACATGAGGAACATCAGATAGCACACAGTAATTTGGAACAGCTGTTGGCAGACTTTCAAATATGTTAGTGTAATTTTTTTGATTAATCCTGTTAAAAGTTTTTCCAGGGAGTACGCAGTCGTGAAATTACACTATCACTGGTTTGGTTGCACGCAATATTTCTTGAGGGCTATGAACACTTACTTCTAACGCATAAAAGATGATGTTTAGTTGAGTATTTGGAAAGGTATGTTATGCTGGCTCTATTCAACGGCTTGGAAGATCTGCAATACTCATCGGCTCTCCAAAGAGAAGACTTCATCTTGCCTGTCCTATGTACTACATATAAATTCTATCTTTCTTTCCTACCAATGGATGGTCTGAAGGACTTTCATCATTCTGAGAAGACAGGCATGGTGCTGGGTGAGTAAGGCACTTTGTTTACAGGAGGTGAGATCAAATGAGGCCCAATAGAACCCTATCTTCAACTGAGAGAACATAATTCATTACCTGTAAGTAACCTGAGAATTGCCTCCTCCTGACAATGAAGCCAGGTCCAATGAGAATCCATCTAGAACCTGCTGACACATGCTCTGCTGCTAACAAATTCATGCTTTGCATTTTGGAGCATCATGCACTCTCTCCTTCATATTTTCTACATAATTTTTATTGAAAATGCTTGCAACTTGGCAACCATCCCAATACTAAAAGACTATGTACTCGGCTGAGCCTCCAGCTGTGTGATGCCAAGCTCAGCCCAGAGGAGGCACAGTTCTGAAAACCCATGGAGGATCTGGAATGGCTGCTACCACCAGGTCGGTAAAACCAAACTCACGCTCTGCTAGTAGCATAGTGTTGGTTCATGCAGTCATGCACTCATCAGCCCATGCTATTTTGTGTGTGTTTCACATCCAACTAGTACTTGTTATACACCAGAGACTGGATAATGGCCATAAATATGCTGATAAAAGCAAGCTAGGTCCTACAGATAGTATCTCATATTTTACCTGCACAGACAGGATGGAAAGTGAAGGAGTCCCACTGCAGAAGGCCAAGTACACAGTTACAGGACAAGAGAAGAGTTGGAGAAGAAAACCTGGAAAAATCATCACATTGGGGCTTAAAGACCTGTCAAGTGCATACCTTCTGCAAAACCCTAAGTTCGTTCCAGGAATAGGAAACAACAAGACATCCCCACACTCTCTGTGAGCCTGTATCCTGGAAGGAGAAGCAGATATAAATGAGTAAGGAAGATACAGCTTATTATGTGGTGACGAATGCTTTAGAGGACTATAAAGTTGAGAGCATGGGGCTGTGCTGCTGTGGTAAGCATGGCTAGCTCACATCTCTTTAGCCAGCTGGCATGAGGAAAGAATGAAGGAGTGTGGACAGCAGCCCTGCAGAGACCTGAGGGAGGGACCCCAGGTGAAGGGAGCACTGTATAAAAGTCTTGGGGAGGAGTGTGCTTTGCTCATCGCAGTAGAGTAAGATGCCACAATATGAAGAAGTTGTGGGGATGGGTTGAGAAAGTGAGAATTCGGGTGAGGGGAACAGTGAGGAGCCGGGGTACACTGTGCTTTACAAGTCAGTGTCCAGTACCAGGCTTCTAGATACCTACTCAAAAGAAGCTGGGAAGCCCTCAAAGGACTCTCAGCGAGAAAGCAGAAGGAGCAAATTTTTAAAAAAGCTCGTGTGTGCGTGTGCGTGTGCGTGTGCGTGTGAGAGAGAGAGAGAGAGAGAGAGAGAGAGAGAGAGAGAGAGAGAGAG